AGAATTTAAAAAAAAGAAAAGGAAATTATCCCGACACCCGAACAACATCGAATAAGAATATATGAACACAATACTTATCGGTATCACCGACAGAGTTCCTCCTTTACAGTGAAGTAGTAGGTACCGCCGTGGTCACTAACTAGTGGGAATCCGTTGACCCGTCCGTCCGTCCGTCCGTCCGTCCGTCTGTCCGTCTACATACCATGTAAAGTAATACAAGTACATGTATGTGCACATTGTACCTGACTGTACGTACAGTTGGGAAAGACGTCACCGCAAAGATGGTGTAATACCAAGATGTAGTATAGAATCTTTGGTCTCCGCACATAGTGATGTTATTATCATTATCTTCTTGGACTTTCCTTTACAGATACACCACACAATAATTCGCGGGTATTCAAGTCCTCACACTTCGATTGAATTGGCATTTTACAGTACAGTAGAATTACAGGTTGAATAATAAAAAAAAAAAGTTGAAAAAAAATGCACGCACATAAAGTGGAAGTTTTAAATTGAAGGGGGGAAAAAAGAAAGGTCAGTCATGTGGTATCTCTTTGGTAAATCGCGTGGCTTTTAGACAGATATAATACAGTGACTTATCCTTATCGTCATCCTCATCCCGTGACTGGAGAAGCGTTTCCTTTAGTTACAACATTCTCTTTCTGGGTGATAATAATAAGATATTGTCGTCAAGAGTAGTGGCCAACCTTGATGTATCCGAAACTATTGCTTACGACGAGTGGAGGTGGCCGGTGGTGCAGGCAGTGTTTGCCAACCTTGGCGATATGGCCCACTAGTGGGCGATTTGGTGATTTTGGTTGGCGTTTTTAATGACAGCCGGTGATGTTTAATAAGCCGCTTGAAAATATATGTGGTTGGGCAGTACGAAGATTTTGTAGCCTCCTTCTTAAACATGGCTAAAATGAGGGCTCGCTGGCTGGCTGGTTATATTAAAGGTTGACAAGCTGTGGTGTAGAGAGTTGACGACTACTGGAGAATATCCGGTTAGATTACGACGGCGGACCTCAAAGTGGAGATGGTTGTCATTAAGTCGTGAATAAAGCAGTCGTTTCGTCGTGAACAAAGCGGTTGTTGTTTAATAACCCGAATGAGCGAGCGGTCGAGCCTGGAGCCTGGAGCAAAGTGGGTGGTGGTGGTGGTGGTGGTGGTGGGAGTAGGTAGGTTTGAAGGTATAGGTTGGTAGGTAGCTAGGTAGGCAGGTAGGTCGGTAGTGCGTCACAGCGCTTCGAGACTGCGCGGGTTGGTGAGCAGCTCCCGCACCAGCCTCCACACCTGCTTTGCCACGTTGTCCATGGCAGCCGTGGACTTGCCCTTGAACAGGTCCACGGTGGGCAGGAAGTACTGCGGGCAGCGGCGGTTCTGCAGGCAGGAGATGAGCTGCAGCAGGATGCCGTTGATCCGGTCGCCGATGCACGTGTCGTCCCACTCGATCTCGCGCGGGTGCTTCTCGCACTCGTACAGCAGCAGCGTCTTCATGTGGTAGTTGAGGATGGGCTGGCCGGGGATGTCCAGATGCCGGTCCCGCAGCGTTTTGAGGATGGACAGGCAGCGGCGCCGGCAGCCGCCGTACATGAGCCGGTCCTCGGCGTAGCGGAAGGACATGACCCAGGCGTCGCCCTCGGCGGCCGACTGCTTGTCCTTCATGTAGATGCTCTCCTTGGAGAGCAGGTCGAAGCCCTCCGTCTTCACCTCGGCCACCAGGTTGGGGTTGGGCCAGGACACGTGCGGCACCGGCCAGTGCGCGGCCGAGCGGCACCAGATCCCCCCGCAGCGGAACGCCGGCGTGATCTGCACCACGTAGCGCTCCTTGATGCGCAGCCGCACCTCGGTGGTGTCCGGGATCATCTTGACCACATCTCTGGATGGTGATTGATGGTAGTGGTGGTGTTTGGGAGGACAGGTTGGTGGGGTGTGGGGTGGGGATGAGGGAGGGGGTGAAAA